GATAAAGCAGTCTGCTTGCCAAGGCAAACTTAATTTTTCCTTCATACAAAATAATATAAACTCTCAGGTGTTTATTTTTTAATTGCAAATGTTCAGTGAGTAGAGAAATGACTCATGCTTCATTGGCATTAAACCCAACATTCGGTATTTTATTAAGTTCAGTTCTCTCTAGCAGTGCGAGGATAGATTTCACAGTATTATTACTCTTGCCTCTTACCTTTCTGCTCTGATTGTGGGGGGAAACATACAGTACAATTTCAATAGATGAACATGGAAGAAAAAATTCATATCTCTGAAATTCAAAAGTACATATCCAATACAAATACTGAGGGGCTTATTTGATAATATAGCCTCTGTCAGCATCTACTCAGGTTTCTGAGATGTTAACTGGTGGTTGTTGGTTTTCTGTCAACCTGTTGACTTGCCCAACAGATAAAACTGGAACTGCTTCTTCAACTCGTATATGGTTGGATGTACATGACCCAGCAATATGTTCTTGCCATAAAGAAAGCTAACGGTATCCTGGGCTGCATTAGGACGAGCATTGCCAACAGGTTGAGGGAGGTGATCCTTCCCCTGTACTCAGCACTGGTGAGGCCACACCTGGAGTGCTGTGTCCAGTTCTGGGTTCCCAGTACAGGAGAGACATGGACATACTGCAGAGAATTTAGTGAAGGGTCACAAAGATAATGAGGGGACTAGAGGATATCTCCTGTGAGGAAAGGCTGAGACAGCTGTGACTGTTTAGCCTGGAGATGGGAAGGGTCATTCATTATATACTCCTCAGTGGGTGTATTCTCTACACCTGAAGGGTTTTGAGAAGACAGAGACAGGCTTTTTTCAGTGGTGCCCAGTGACAGGACCAGAGGCAACAGGCGAACACTGAAACACAGGAGGATCCATCTGGACATCAGGAAACATTTTTTCCGTGTGAAAGTGACTGAGCACTGGCACGGATTGCCCAGAGAGACTGTTGAGTCACCCACCTTGGAGATATTCAAAAGCCGTCTGGACATGGTCCCAGGCAACCAGTTCTAGGTGACCCTACTTGAGCCAGGGGGGTTGGACCAGATGACCTCCAGAGATCCCTTCCAAACTCAACCATTCTGTGATGCTGTGAAATTTGCTGCTTTCTCAGATACAGTGATGGGACTAAGTGCTAAACCTCGGTTACTTTTTTTTCTCTTTTCTTTTTTCTGTTAGCTTACCCAGCAAAATTAGTTATTTTTTCCTAACTAACATCTGTATAAATTCCCTTTATCCTCAGAATATTATGACTAAAACAGTATTATTTCCAGGAAAACCTTCAGTTTTTGTAAAACAAAACATTTCAAGGTGAAAGATATGTTTGTGGGGGTTTTTTTAATAATCTTTTTTTTTTTTTTTTTAACTGGCAGAAATATTTTGGCCACCCATGTTAAACCATTAAAGCATTTGACAAGAAAAGAGATATCTCACAGTATCTTATGATAGTTTGAAATATGTCCATTTTTGTAGAAGGATATACACAAGGAATGTGACTTCTGTGTGAAAATATAAATGGCTCAAAAAAACTTGCTTTAAAAAAAGAAAGTAAAAGTCAGGGAGTTTGAAAGAGGCAATTCATGTAACCCTTTGCCAGTCAAATTGGAGTTCTAAGAAGTTCTGTGCTGTCTTGGTAGCCAGTGTCGTTCCAGAGACAAAGGAAAGTTGAAATGTGTTTTAAAAAAAGCACCTTTTCCCCTGTGTGGAGACTGTTTTTCTTCACTTGCATTGCATTTTGTTCAACCAAATCTCTCGTATGTGTACCAAAAAGCAGCACGTCAGAATTTGGTGGTGTTTTCATTGTCTCTTTCAGACATTAAATTCCCACAAGCAAATAAAATAAAATTCTATTGTTTGTTCATTTTGTGCTGACAATATTACTAAGTGTGTGAATGATCTTGCATTAAAAAATGTTCTGCCAATATATTAAACAAAACAGGCTTACTGTACTGATCAACTAGAGAACCTATAAAATCTTCTGTGTAGATAGCTAGGTATGTGTCCACAGTTTTCTGTAGTTATGTTTCAAACAAAAAACTACTGTGACAGTAATATCCTGGCTTTGATGCCAGGGATGTAGGTTTTTTGGATCTATTATCAAACTTATCAGCACTGTAGGATCTTTCAGTAATCTATAACACTCAAATGTTACACAAGAGAATAGATCTCTACTGTCTGAGAGACTGGAATAAGGCTTAATATACCCTGTTGTCAGTATTCAAAGCACTTCTATTTTCTTTCCTGCTATTCCAGAAAGAGAAATTTCCCGCTTTTAACATAACAAGATTTAAGAATTTTTTTCTGCATGTTGTGCACAGTCACACATGCACACACACATAAAAATATCAGTTTCTGTTTCATTTGCTTGTGTTAGAAACACTGGGGTTTTTTCTTCCTGTTATTGTTTTCCCTTTCATATTGCATTGGCAGTCATCTTTTTGAACCTTTGAGAGGAAAGCTATGGGCACCTTTAAATTATTTTTAAAATATAAATTCTCTTAAGAATAACCTGGTCATCTTTGTGTCCCAAATTTTCTTAATTTTTTTGCTCTTATATCCTCTTCTTATTTAGCAAGACAAGTGGATCCACATCTTCCCTATCTCCTACTTTGGACCCTTCTGGGTCTTCATAATTCAGTAATGACTTCTGGATTTGGTATTGTTCCTTCAGCTTTTGAATTCTAGAGTATGCTCTCTCTGCCTACTAATGCTTTCTTTTACCTTTTACAGTATTTCCTTGAGATTAGTGCTTTGGGTAAGCCATAGAAGCCCTCTCACATACTAGATCATTTCGTGCATAGATCAAGGAAAATTAACAGAGATTTTAGTCATTCCATTAATGGGGCACTGGTATCTGTGATGTTCAGCCCTTCTTTTTCCCCCCAGGCAAAAACTAGAGAAATAAATGGATTCTTGCAAAGCTCTGGAAATCACAGAATCATAGAGCAGTTTGGGTTGGAAGGGACCTTGTAAGAGATTAGGAATGAAATGGCAAGGAAAATGTTGCACCATCGTCCAAAAAAAGACCAAAAGATCAACCTGGGGAACTACAGGTCTGGCAGGCTCGCTTCAGCCCATGGGAAGAACCGTGGAGTGAGTCCTCTTAAAACATATTTTTGGGCATGTGAAGGAAAAGAGTAATTGGGGAGAGCCAGTATGGATTTACCAAGGGGAAATCGTGCCTGACCAATCTGATAGCTGTCTATGATTTGGGATGAGGAGAGAGCAGTGGATGTCATTGGGTACTTAACTTTAGCAAGACTTTTGACATTGTCTCCCACAATATTCTTATATCCAAGCTGGGATGTTATCATCTGTGTGGGAGGTTTTCTAGATGATGAAAAGCTAGTCAGCTAGCTAGACCCAGAAAGTCATGGTTAATGGGTGATACTCTACCTGGAGGTCAGTAGTAAGTGTGGAACTGCTGGGATCTGTCCTGGGACCTGGAAGAGGTAATAGAGCATGCACTCACCAACTGTGCAGACAATGAATTGGGAAGGATCAGTCAATAGGTTTTCGGTAGTCAGGCTACCTTCCAGAGACCTGAACGGGCTAGAGGAATGGGCTAACAGGGAGCTTGTGAAACTGAATAAGGGCAAGTGCCAGGCACTGACCCTGGGACAGAGGAAGCCTGTGATGGCACAGGCTTGGGATAGACAGACTGGGAGCAGCCCTGTGGGAGGGGCCCTGGGGCTTGGTACCTCAGCCGGCAAAGATGGCCAACAGCTACATGGGTTGTATGAACAGGACCATCGCCAGTCAGTACAGGGAGTGATTATCCCCCTCTGTCCAGCACTCATTAGACCATATTTAGAGTACTGCATCCAGTTAAAGCAAAGATATTGACAAACTGGAGTGAGTTTTTCTGAAGGCTGTCAAGGTAAACCCCAGAGCAGTCTTCAGTTCTGGTCTCAGCTTTGTCAACATTTACACATTCCATTTCATGCTTTGTCTCAGTTTCTTTCCCTGGCTTCTTGATCGTTCTCACTGCTCATCTGCTCTCAATCTTTTTTGCAGTGTCTCTGCCCCAACATGTTCCATTGTTTTACTGCACCATATAAAACCTACGTCTCTTAAAAAACATTCTTTCCAGCATAAGAAAAGGCATGCTAGAGCTGTACACAGGGAGCATAAGAATTACAAAACAAAACAAAACAACCCACCCACATTCAGTCTATTTTTTCCCTAGTCATAGATGGCCAAACTCATATGGATGACATTTTTAAGAAATTAATTCTGCCTGAGGCAGATGTTCTGCCCCGAAAAACTAACTATAAACAGATGAAGTTTGCCCAGAGTTCCAAGAAACTGTGAAAAGATTTTATAATGCAAAGTGTTAAGGAGTTTAATATAGCAGCTCTGCTTGTAATAACATATTTTTCTTCCATTTGTGTTAACTGTAGTTATCTACTTGCCTCAAATCAAAATGGAAATAAATTTAATTGTTTATGCTGTAGATTTGCTACACGACTATTTTTTTGTTGACAATTGTGAGTTCTTACGAGGATGACAATTACACTTTAAAGACAGATGAGGTTCTATCCTTACAAATGTAGTGATACTAATTGTCATGATAATTGAGTTACTTCCTTTAACTAATAAACCACGCCTGTTCCTACTTTAGGTTAGGTATTTGATGCAGATTCTGAAACTGATCAAAGTTGTATGAATATAGAAATTGAAAACTGTATTACAGAATAATCACAAGACTATCTTGATGTCATTTTAATAGCTGTGTTTCCAAGTAGAACTTTATTAGAGAAGTAGACCATTCACTGTTTTATACATTACATTTGATAGAAAGTTTTGCAGCTTTAGACTCTACCTATTTATGTGGGTTTGTAAATTAAAAAAATTATAAATGTAAATAGCCTGAGGGGGGAAAAACAGATTCTAGTAAAAATTGAGTAGTTATGGTTAATATTTTTATTTGTACTATTTATACACTGGCCTAAAATACTTTTCTTCATTTTAAGGTAACTGAGCTGCATAATATCAAAAACATAACTAGATTGCCTCGAGAGACAAAGAAGCATGCAGTGGCAATTATCTTTCATGATGAGACGTCAAAGACTTTTGCGTGTGAGTCAGGTAAGCAATTGGTACTGCATGCCTGTCTTGAAAAAATCAAGTTACACATCAAAGTCTTGGTCAGATGAATTAACTTAAAATACCAGATAGAAATCCTTAGATTAAAGGAATTTCTTGTAAACAAGAACTTTGGAGTTTGGGGGTTAGTTTTTGGGGGTTTTGGTAAGGTTTCTTTTAATATACTTTGAGAGGTGTTGGGGGTGTTACTTTCTTCCATTACTTATCTTTGACTGCACACAGATGGTCTAAAGACTGGAGATTTTCAGCTAACTTGTAAAAATGAGTAAAAAATGCCTATGGGATGTTATTAAAGCCAAGATGTGAAACATTGGGTTTTTTTCTAAGTTTTGCTATAGGCACTTACTAAACTAATAATTATCATGCCATTGCAAATAAGAAATAAATACCAGCTAAAACCTCAGGATATTATAATACCGGATGTCAAGCAGTCTGCAGTTTGAACAGCTACATGGTATAATGAATGAGTTGAGGACAGACTTTGGGAATCATGGTACATAATGACAGGTAGTTACTTGTGAGATACTGAACACTGCACTATTAAAGTGCACTGTTTTCTTGTTTGAAAATGAAATTGTACATGTCTGTGTCCTACTGTATATTTTACCTCAAAAAAATGTTTTTCAAAATAATGAGAAATTTTTTAATGATAAAGTTTCTGTTTGCTTAGCGACATATTTGAAACTGTGTATTATAAAATTGTATCTTAATATTATCATATAAACATTGCATGGTGTACAATCTAGGTTAAATACAGCGAAACAAAGTAGGAGAAACATGTGGAGGAGGTAGGTTAAAAGTGTGTAAGGTCATGAATTATGTGGATCTAGATCAAGTATTGCAGACATGATATCTACATCCCACCACGAAAGATGGATTGACAGAGTTTTGTTTGTTTATTAATTTAAAATTAACAACAGACACATAGAATATTTGTAGCTTTCTAGGATCAGTTTAACAGATTATTAGATGAGTCGTTTGCATTAAAGACTTTAATTTCTAATGTGTAGCGTTAATGAATCTATAATATGATTAATAACCAAATAAAAACATTTTAATTATATTTCAACAGCACTGAAATTAGTTCTATGCTAACTTTTCCATTTGCATACACATGCATTCCCCTTGATCTCTAATGAAAAGATCTTCATTCCCTAGAATACCTATGATGCAGGTATGTTAGAAAAGAGTGCTAACAAATGATAACTTCAGGATTCTTTCACAAAAGAAGGGGCAAACCTAAGAAAGTTCAGCATGTCTGGCCCACTCATCCCATTCTTCTGTAACAAACACGATGCAACTCCTTAACCTTGAACCTTGTATACAAGATGCAAGTACCTTAAAGTGCTAACAAGATGCCGGTATGAGATGCCCTACCTTAAGGCTATGCTCTATGCAAAGATGTGTTTTGAGTGAATGGAGCCTTGGGTGAAGTGATGAACCTGTGGAGAGCATGTGGGAAGAGATCAAAGGACAGAGCAACACAGGTGATATTGTAGTAGGTGTCTGCTACAGACCTTCTCATCAACAGGAAAAAGTAGATGAAGCATTCTTAAGGCAAGTGGAAAAATCTTTACAGTCCCAGGTGTTGGTACTCTTGGGTGACTTTAAGCACAACAATGTCTGCTGGAAGACCAGTATGGCTGGACATTGGTAATCCAGATTTCTGGAACAGATTGAAGACAATTTCTTGGTATAGATGATCAATTACATGATGAGGGGAGATAGATTATTTAGGGATGTGCTTGGCAGGATCCTGTGGATAATAGGCTTGGAGGGCAAAGGAGCCTAGGAGAGCTAGCTGATCTTCAAGGACAGCATCCTCTGAGCACAAGAACTGTCCTTCCCATTCTTCAGAAGACAAACATTGCAGAAGACAAGTATGGATGAGCATGTTGCTCCTGACTCAACTCAAACACAAAAAGGGAAGCATGCAGAAGCAGGGACAGACTACCAGGGAGAGACACAGATGCATTGCCCATGTATAGAGGAATGGAGCCAGGAAAGCTCCAGCTCAGCTGGGGCTGCAACTAGCCAGGCAGGTGAAGGACAGAAAAGGTTTCTTAAAGTATATCAACAACAAAAGGAAGGCTAAAGTGAGTGTGGTCCCATTGCTTTGTGGGGCACTGGACCTAGTGACAAGAGGCATGACAAAGGCTGAGGTACTCGATACATTTTTATACCTTGGTTTTAACTTGCAAGGCTTGACCTCAGGCCTTCCAGCTCCCTCAGCCTCTTAGCAGTCAGTGGGAGTGAAGTAGTACCCACAGTAGAGCAAGGAAGAGTCAGGCATCACTTAAATCACTTAGATATCATGCACAAGTCCATGGAACAAGATTGTCAAGAATGACAAGAAGGAGTTTCCAGATAACTATAGGTCAGGCAGCCTCACCTCAGTCCCTGAGAATGTTGTTAGAGCAAATTATGTGTAAACACATGAAGGACAACAAGATGAATGGGAGTAGCTAGAACACTTTCCATATGGAAATCATGCTGTCTATGATGAGGTGTCTGGCATTGTGGACAAGGGAAAGACAGTGGCTCTTATATACGTTGATTTCAATGGTCTTCGACAGCCTCCCATATCCTCTTCCATAGCCCCCGAATTGGTGGGACATGGAGTGGATAATGGCACTATAAAGTGGATAGAAAATAGGCTGGAATTAAAAAGTTGCGATTTATGGTGCAAAGCCAGTCTTGTGGCCAGTAGGTAGTGGTCCCTCAGGGATCAGTGCTGGGACTGTTCAAAGTCTTCATTGACAACCTGCATGATGAGATGGAGAGTACTCTCAGCAAGTTTGCAGGTGACACCAAATTGGGAAGGTAGGGCTGCTGTCAGACAAACCTGGACAGGCTGGAGAAATGGGCTGGCAGAAACCTTATGAAGTTCAGCAAGCGCAAATGAAAGGTCTTGCCCTGGGTTGGAGTAATTCCAGGCAACAAGGCAGGCTGGGAGCCAACTGTCTGGGAAGCAGCTCTGCAAAAAAAGCTCTGGGGTCTTAGTGGACAGCAAACTGCACATCTCCTGGACTTCATTAGTAAAACTATTGACAGCACTTACAGGGAAGTGGTCCTTCCCTTCTATTCAGCAGTTATAAGACCGCATCTGGAGTACTGTGTCGTTTTGTGCTGTTAGCATGAGAACATTGACATACAGGAGCAAACCCAGTGGAGGACCACCAAAGGCCAGGGTCATGAGCACATGACGTATGAAAAGAGACTGAGAGCTGGGCCTGTTCATCTTGGAGAAGAAACAACTTCAGAGGATCTTTATTGCTTTCTACAATTACCTGTTCTGAGAATACCAAGAAGATGGAGCTGTAAAAGTGTCGGACTGTTTCCTGTTTCTGAAAGACTACAAATCTTAGCTGGAGGTATAGTGGAGTTTCAATCAGTTTGCCTTTCTCCATGCCTTCAGTCTATCTAAACAGTATAAAATGCATCATCTCCATCAGATGAGAGAGTTATACTGCTTTGTTTCATTAAAATGTGACTCTCATGAACTCCAAATCTTTTGTGTGTCCTGAACTGGGAAGATACAGTCTAAACCAAACTTTTTCGCAGCTCGTTTCCACAACTGAGTTCTGTCTTCCTACAAGGAACTATTACCTTTTTTACTGCTGCTGAAATGTGGCAAGTACTTTGCTTTCCTTTTTGAAATTTAGCAAAGATTAAGGAATATTTAGAGAGCTGCTTGCTATTTAAAATGTTTTCTTCTTCCTCTCAGATCTCTCAAAAATGTATAATAGCAGTGGTTTCTATGGGACAATGCCTAGACTTTTAACAGTCTCATGGTGTATAGTGGTATACACACATGGGGTTTATTTTGGCAAATCAGGCTGCTTCTTTTGTTAACTCAATAACACCTTTACTCTGCTCATAACTCTCCCATGGCTTCAGTGGGAAAGAACCACTCAAGTGGTTTTGACTCAGTCAAAAATCTTATTCTAGAATCACAGCTGCTTGATCACCTTGAATTATTTAGAATCATGGAATCATAGAATGGTTTGGAAGGCACCTTTAAAGGTCATCTAGTCCAACCCCCCTGCAATGAGCAGGGACATCTTCAACTAGATCAGGTTGCTCAGAGCCCTGGCCAACCCGACCTTGAATATTTCTAGGGATGGGGCATCTACCACCTCTCTGGGCAACCTGTGCCAGTGTTTCACCTTCCTCATTGTAAAAAATTTCTTTCTTCTGCCTAGTCTAAATTTACCCTCTTTTAGTTTAAAACCGTTAACCCTTGTCCTATCACAACAAGCCCTGCTAAAAAGTCTTTCTTATAAGCCCCCTTTAGGTACTGAGTATTTAACTATTTGGGAGCCAAAAATTTCATGATATGAACATTTTTTCCAGCATGGGGTCTCAGAATATGCAGAAGCAGATACTTTGTTTCCTATCATCTTGACCTCAAGGGACAGTAATGCTGGACCATTGCAAAAGGTCTGCTGAGCATAAAGTCAATAAATTCTTGGAAAGGAGGAGGAAGTAATGCTCAAAGTTGAGTTGGTTTTATACGGGAACTGAACAATGTGAGGTAGGGTTTTTGTCGGAGTTGTACCAGGAAGTGTTTTAAAATAACTGTATCATTTTTTTTTTGATAGTATAAGCTGATGTCTTTTTCTCTATGCAGTATAAAAGTCCATGTGATGAAATGTAGCACATTTTTCTGGTACTTAGCTTTCTTAATTGTGGATTTAAGCACAGTAAAATGCTATTCTGTTTTAAAATAGTTCTCTAAACGTATAGAACACTTCAGTCCTCCCCAGAGAGCCTGAGCGCTGTGATACCAGCCCCCTGGGTTCGCTGGCTGGGAGCCTATGGTTGTTTCCTAAGCTCCTGCGACTTCTAGGCCCTCAGCTTGCTTGTTGTCTTCAAGGCAGCTACTGGCAACTCTGAGCTCTGGATGGGCCATAGCCCCCATATTTCCATTAGGATTTCAGGAAATTAGTCATTTGAGGAACATCTAATTTTTGTTAATT